ACCTGTTTGATTTGCAAAAAAAGAATATACTATTAAATAACATAAATATAATTTTTATATTTAATTTGAGAAAATATTATAGGATATCTCAAATCATGAAAAGATGAATACCATAAAAAGAAACTTTTTTTATTCAATAAATCAGAATATCTTTTCATCCTAAATCCTAAATACTCAAAAGATTAAAATAATAAAATACTCATACTTATTTCAAATATAATAATTATATTTTTTTTCTTTTCTTCCTTTTTTACTGGGCTGTGTTTAGAAATTTTAAAGTACTAGGAAAACTTTATATTTTAACTTACACTCTAATATATATTTATGAATTTATATTTTATTTTTAAAATTTTGAACACTAAGTTTGGTAAATAAAATTTCAATCTATGATCGTTCTTTCATTCAATACATTGCAATATTAACTAATATAGTTAATAGTTTATATGAAATTGAATCTCAAAGTTTTAATTTTGATTTTTTACAGTGATTTTTTCGTTAGCATTTGTGCGGTGCCTTTAATTTAGAAAAGAAAACTAATACAACTAATATAAAATTAATGTTCACTAAATTTTAATGTTCACTAATACAACTAATATAGTACGCTTGCTAATCCTACTCTCAAAGAAGTAGAAGAACTTATCTACAGTCGGTAGCCCTGCACACAAAACCTCAAAACCACGTACGAAGGCCCAACTATTGGGGTGCAATTGGGTCGGGACAACACCTAAGGCCTGGAGTACTCCCTTTTCACAGTCAGTAAGGGGCCATCTTACCCTAATTTTAGAAATGAGGGTCGTATAACAAAACGTAAACTTTTCCGTTGAAGGTGAACTAATGCACACCGGTTCTCTGTCAACACAAGGTTCACATATAACTACATCGTCCCCATCACGACAAACCACATGGTCTCTACAAAAGCTGTCCATAGCTTCCCAAGAATTTATCATAGACTCACATTTTAATGCGTCATCTTTAACCCATCTATATAACTCCCCGTAACTCACGACAGCCATGGCAAATATAAGCTTAGACTAACCTACAACCTAAAGGTTTGCAAGAAAACCACTACAATAGCAGAATAAATACGCGTACCTAAGGGTCTCTCACACCACTTCACCCACTAAAAACAGGGACAACCACCGTAGACCTCCGTAGACCTGGAACGGAGAAGAAAGAAACCACCGGAGAAGAAGACACGCAAAGAGGGAAAAGAAAATAACTTGAATAAATGGGAGGCCGCCTCTATTTATAGAGGTGAAGGGTCGCGCGTGAAGAGGGAAAACCCAAGAGCCACAACGCGCGTGGGGTGCTGCAACTCCTAACCCAAGAGGGCCCCACTTCGTTAACCCTGGTAGCGGGCGCTGCCACGTGGCTCCGTCATTAATTACACTCCTGCAACGCCGTCCTTGCAATAAATGCATGTCCCTTCCTGGACGAGGGGAAAAGACACGTCTTGTCAAGACCAGAGAGATCCCCACTTCCCAGAACGACATACATACCGCTACAGTCCCCATCTGGAGAACGACTCGGCCATCTCCCGACATTATTCGAAAGGCCACAAGCCCTTTCGCCTTATCGGCTCAGGGCTGGAAGGCTAGTGTACCGTCCAGGTCAAAATCCGACTTGATCCTCCGTTTGACTGATAACCACTCGGCCTACGACCGAGTTAACACCTCTATGCAAGCCGACTTACTCCTATTTCGACCCCACTCGCCTATGAGGGGGTCACTCGGCACGTACCCGACTTGATCCTTGGTGTACAAGCCGACTCAGCCCTAGCTCGGATTCGCTCGCTTACAAGTCGGATCTCCGTGATTACCCGACTGGACCCATGACACAGACCTAGTCGGTTAAAGACCGACTAGATTAATCCTCACTCATTGCGCGACCTTGTAGCAAGAACGGTTGAGGAAACCCCTACGTTCTCGGGGCCCATGAGGCCCATGGGCGACGAGGTATAAAACCTAAAACCCTAAGTCTAGGCGGACGTATTTCACTTTTTGAATGCTCTGGCTTTGAGGTGCAACCTAGGACGAAACCCTAGCGCACTCCTTGGCCGGAATATTTTGGCGCCCACCGTGGGGCTGCGGTGAAACTTTTCCTACGCCCCAAGCAACACAAAGGAACCCGCACTTTACCATGGCGAGAGGCGATAATAACAACAACAACTCACAACCCCCAACCATGGAGGAGATGATGGCCATGATCAATGGCCTACGAGAGGAGAATGCACGGTCCAGGGAGAGAGAGGAGGCCGTCCAGCGCGAGAATGAAGAGATCAGGAGGAGAGCGAACGAGATGCAAGCCAAAATAGCGGCCAGTACCAGGACTGTGGAGAAGGATGTCATGCTGGAGGTCCCTAGAGACTTTCGGCCATTCTCGAAAGCCATAGAGGCCGAGATCATCCTTAGGGATCATCGGATACTGCAGGTCGAACCGTTTGACGGAACCCAGGACCCCAGTCAACATTTAACGGACTTCCAAGCTCAGATGTTGATCTGTGGTGGGAGCATGGAGGTCCGCTGCAAATTGTTCATGGGCACGCTCAAGAAGGCGGCGCTTGATTGGTTCAGCGGTCTTCCTGATCGATCGATCACCGACTTCGATGTCTTTAGCCGACTCTTCATGGCGCAGTTTGCCGCTAACAAAAAGAAGCCGCCAATCACGTCGGATTTGTTTGATCTCAAGCAACAACGCGAGGAGTCGCTGAAAGACTTTCTGCAAAGGTTTAATGAGGTTGCCTTGAGGATAGCGTCGTTGGATGAAAGGATGGCAGTCATCGCATTCCAGAAGGGTTTAAGGTTCGGGGCTTTCGATATCGCGCTTGAAAAAGCAAATTGTCAAACGATGTCGGAGGTACGGGCTTTCGCCTTAAGTCACATCAAGACGGAGGAGAACCAGATTATTAAAATGGCAGTGGAGAACCGAGAAGCAGGGGGAAGAAATAAGGAGGTTAACAAGCATCTCCGACCGCGATCGGATTGGAGTAACCGACGCGATCGTTATAACACGAAAGAAGGCAACTACCAGCAGGCCGATCACATTGGTCGGCCAAGAGGCGAGTGGACGCGTAACAAGGAAGACGAGAAGTTTACTCCACTCAACGTTCCCAGGCGGCACATACTGCATGACGTCAACAGCGCCTCACTTTTCGAATTCCCAGCGGCAACCGACTGCTAGTTGGGACCTTACAAAACTGACTGGTGTGAATTCCATCGGACCCATGGACACACTACGGAGAATTGCTTTGTTCTCGGTAGGCAGATTGAGCGCCGTATCAAGGAGGGTCGTTTGAAAAAATTCATTGTATGGAAACAAGATGAAGGCCCGTCCGAGAGGCGACGCAGGCGAGAAGGAGAAGACACGAGAAGAGGAAGGCGAGAAGGGAGGTCTCCCCCTAGAGATTTGCCGGAAAAAAGTGCAGAAACTCATCAGCAAGTTGTACATGGAGACTTCAACACCATAGCGGGGGGTTTTGCCGGAGGAGGTTCGACTTCAGCAGCACGAAAGAGATACTCTCGGTCAGTGCTATCGGTCTCCGGTTGGGCGAGACCTACTCGGCCAGCCATCACGTTCTCGGACGCCGACTTTGAGGGTGTGTCACCCCATGAGGATGACCCTATAGTCGTTTCGGCGATCGTCATGGGTTACAACGTGAAACAAGTGTTGGTGGATCAAGGTAGCTCGGCAGACATAATGTTCTGGGAAGCCTTCATCGGGATGAAAATTCCGACCGATCGCCTTATGCCATATGCAGGTACGTTAGTCGGTTTTGCAGGTGATCAGGTAACGACCAGGGGATACACCGACTTGGAGACAACTTTCGGCCAGGGAGACCACATGAAGACTATCCCTGTCCGATACCTGGCGGTCAATGCTCAGTCGTCCTACAGCATCCTAGTCGGACGACCGACATTGAATAAGTTGGGAGCAGTCGTCTCCACACCCCATTTGAAGATGAAGTACCCTTTACCCAGCGGTAAGGTTGGGGTCCTCTGTGTGGACCAAGAAGTCGCGAGAAAGTGCTACGAGGACAGCTTGAGGGAGAGGAGACAGTTATATGTGACACAGGTTGATCGGGGGGTCCAGTCAATCAAGTTAGATCTGAGGATGACTCACTTTGACTCCCGACCAACCCCAGCAGAAGATGTGAAGGAGGTTAGTTTGGCCGAGGGAAAAACGGTCAAGATTAGCGTGTTTTTGGCTAAAGAAGACGAGGAAGGATTGCTGATAGTATTGAAGAACAACATGTCGGCTTTTGCATGGAGTGCTGGCGACATGCCAGGCATTGATCCCGACTTCCTATGTCATCATCTCATGGTCGATCCCAATGCGAAGCCGGTGATTCAAAAACGACGAAAGTTTGGAGATGATAAAAAAAGGGCCATAGCCAAGGAGACGAAGAAATTGTTGACAGCTGGTCACATTCGGGAAATCCAATACCCGACGTGGCTAGCGAATGTGGTAATGGTACGGAAGAGCAACGGAAACTGGAGGATGTGCACAGACTTCACCGTCTTGAACAAAGCCTGTCCAAAAGATTCATACCCGCTGCCCAACATAGATTGTCTGGTTGACAATGCTTCGGGGTATGAATTATTGAGTTTCATGGATGCGTACTCGAGGTACAATCAGATCAGGATGCACCCTGCCGACGAAGATAAAACAGCATTCATAGCCGACCAAGCCACCTACTATTACAAGGTGATGCCTTTCGGTTTGAAGAACGCAGGGGCGACGTACCAGAGGCTTATGGACAAGGTGCTGGCCGATCAACTAGGAAGGAATGTGGAGGCATATGTGGACGACATGGTTGTCAAGTCGCCTAGTGTGTGTCGGCATTTTTCTGATTTGCAAGAGTCGTTCGACACCCTAGCACGCTACCAGCTCAAATTGAACCCCGCAAAGTGCTCGTTTGGCGTCCAAGCAGGAAAATTCCTCGGTTTCCTGCTGACCGTGGCATTGAGGCAAATCCTGATAAGTGCTCTGTCATAATCAGTATGAGAAGTCCTGCGACGGTAAAAGAGGTCCAGCAGTTGACAGGGAGGATGGCCTCCCTCTCTCGGTTCCTTTCAAAGGCAGCGGACAAGTCGCTCCCCTTGTTTCGATGTTTGAGAAAGAACGACCGGTTCGCGTGGACAGATGAATGTGAAAGAGCATTCGGCGAACTCAAGCAGGCTCTCACCTCGCCGCCAATCCTCTCCAAACCGCAAGCCGATCTCCCTTTGCTGATGTATTTGTCGGCATCCGATAGTGCCATCAGCACGGTCTTAGTACAGGAAAGAGGTAACTCCCAATCGCCCATTTATTTTGTTAGCAGGGTGTTACAAGGAGCAGAGGTTCGTTATCAGAAGATCGAGAAATTAGCCCTTGCGATACTGGTTACAGTGCGGAAGCTAAGACATTATTTCCAGAGTTACGAGGTGGTAGTCCGAACAGATCATCCGATTAGGCAAGTACTACAGAAGCCCGACCTGGCAGGAAGGATGATGAAGTGGTCTGTAGAGCTATCAGAGTATTCCATCAAGTATGAACCGAGAGGAGCAATCAAAGCTCAAACGCTAGCTGACTTCGTGATGGAACTAACTTCACCGGCTGAGGAAGGCAGTATTGAAGAGACACAGTGGATCCTATCGGTGGATGGAGCCTCGAACCTTGGAGGAAGTGGAGCGGGAATCGTCTTGGAAGGACCGGGAGGAATTTTGTTGGAACAATCATTGCGATTCGAGTTTCGAGCAAGCAATAACCAGGGCGAGTATGAAGCGTTGTTGGCCGGTATGGCATTGGCAAAGGAAATGGGGGCGACGAGTTTATCAGCACGAAGTGACTCCCAACTGTTCACGGGGCAGGTAGCCGGCACCTTCCAGGCGAAAGACCCTCAACTGGCTAAGTACCTGGAAAAGGTTAAGCTCTTATCGGGAAATTTCCGAGAGTTCACACTTAACCACGTACCACGAGAGCAAAATTCGAGGGCCGACTTGCTCTCTAAGCTTGCAAGCACAAAGAAGCCAGGAGCCACTCGGTCAGTTATCCAAGAGACGCTAGCACAACCAAGTATAAACGAGGCGCAAGGGAACGTCCTATTCATCCAGGAAGAGCTTAATTCGTGGATGGGACAGTACATCGCATATCTAACTCGGGGGGAATTACCGGAAGACAAAAGGGAGGCATCGTTGGTGCAAAAGGAGTCGGCCATGTTCGTAGTCATCAACGAAAGACTGTACTGAAGGGGCTTTAGCTCTCCTCTCTTAAGGTGTTTGACCATGTCGCAAGCAAAAAGAGTGATGGATGAGGTACATAGTGGAATGTGCGGAAGCCATATCGGAGGCCGAGCTCTGGTGTATAAAGTTGCCCGAGCAGGGTACTTCTGGCCATCCTTGAGGAACGACTACGTCAATTGGGTCCAAAAATGTGACGGATGCCAAAGACACGCAACCCTGCACCACTCCCCAGCGGAACGGCTACATTCAATATTATCCCCCTAGCCTTTCCACAAGTGGGGGATTGATATTCTCGGTCTATTTCCAATCGCAGTAAGGCAAATGAAGTTCTTGATAGTAGCTGTTGATTACTTCAGCAAATGGATCGAGGCGGAGCCAGTTGCAACCATCTCAGCAGAGAAGGTTAGAGCATTTCTTTGGAAGAACGTGGTGTGCAGGTATGAAGTCCCTCAAATGCTCGTTTCCGATAATGGGACACAATTTGCAAGTGCGAGAGTCCGTGATTTTTGTAAAGAGGTCGGCATCCAAATGGCATTCACTTCCGTTGAACACCCACAGTCTAACAGCCAGGCGGAGTCGGCCAACAAGGTAATTCTTTCAGGTTTGAAGAAGCGTGTCCAAGACTCAGGCGCTTCATGGGTGGAGGAGCTTCCCCGAGTGTTATGGTCGTACCACACGACTGTTCATTCGTCGACCCAAGATACTCCGTTCAATCTGGTATACGGAACCGACGCCATGATCCCGATCGAAATCGCAGAGCCATCAGTACGCACTACGACTTTTTCTGAAGAAGAATCCGACCAGGGAAGACAAGTTGACCTGGACTTGATCGCTGAGACAAGAGAGAGAGCAAGAATAAACCAAGTAGCAGCCCAGAGAAGAGCAGCCTTCAAGTACAACACAAAGGTAGTTCCAAGAGACTTTGTTGTAGGAGATCTAGTCTTGAGGCGTGCTCAGTTAACATAGATAAGGAACAAGCTGTCACCTAAATGGGTCGGCCCGTATAAAATTGATGATGTGGTCGGCAAAGGAGCTTACAGACTGAGAACCTTGGAAGGAGGGATGATACCGAGAACCTGGAACGCTGCAAATCTACACTTTTATTATAGCTAGACTATTTTTCAATTTGTATTGGGTGCATTCTTTTCCTAACTCAATATTTTTTCCCTGTAAAAATATGAGGGGTTTTTGCTGAGAAGGTTTTTAACGAGGCACCACCCTTTCAATTTTAATAAATGTCATCTCATTGTTTTCTTCCATGATTTCTGACATATGTTATTTTTAAAGGCGCCAAAACTCGTGATTGTCGGCAAAAGTCCGACTGGGCGAGTATAAATAACTCGAAGACAAACTCGTGATTGTCGGCAAAAGTCCGACTGGGCGAGTATAAATAACTCGAAGACAAACTCGTGATTGTCGGCAAAAGTCCGACTGGGCGAGTATAAATAACTCGAAGACAAACTCGTGATTGTCGGCAAAAGTCCGACTGGGCGAGTATAAATAACTCGAAGACAAACTCGTGATTGTCGGCAAAAGTCCGACTGGGCGAGTATAAATAACTCGAAGACAAACTCGTGATTGTCGGCAAAAGTCCGACTGGGCGAGTATAAATAACTCGAAGACAAACTCGTGATTGTCGGCAAAAGTCCGACTGGGCGAGTATAAATAACTCGAAGACAAACTCGTGATTGTCGGCAAAAGTCCGACTGGGCGAGTATAAATAACTCGAAGACAAACTCGTGATTGTCGGCAAAAGTCCGACTGGGCGAGTATAAATAACTCGAAGACAAACTCGTGATTGTCGGCAAAAGTCCGACTGGGCGAGTATAAATAACTCGAAGACAAACTCGTGATTGTCGGCAAAAGTCCGACTGGGCGAGTATAAATAACTCGAAGAACAAAACTCGTGATTATCAGCCAAAGTCCGACTGGGCGAGTATAAACAACTCCATGACAGACTCAAATAGCGGACGAAGCTCGATTATATGACCAAAAAAGAATTGCAACACCAACCGACCGACTATGAACAACAGTCGGGAATCGACCGGCTACTTTCGAATGATGATTTTTCCTAAATAAATATTCCGCATCTCCAGGTAACCATCGTAATTGACGTTCATGTCAGTTTGGAAATTTTCCTGTTCAAACAAGTCAGGTTTGGCCGACTATAATTACGAAGTACCTCTTTAAGCTTAAATTTTCTATTATATGTCGGGTTTTTATCGACTGAGGAATCTTACCCTTTTTAACTTGGAAAGTCTTCGTCCCATTTGAATCGGCATTTTACCGATCCGCGATGCGAAATTCCACCATTTTAAACTAATTTTTTCGTTTAGAAGTAGTCGGAAATAAAACCGAGTATATGCATACAATTACGTTTTAAACTCAGAAAAGTTTCATTTTCCAATTCGGACGACCAGTTACATCAAGGCTCAATCGTTAACTTAGCAAAAAAAAAATTTGGGTGTTCTTCTAGTCGGTATGTGGACAACTAGATATCTTGAGACTCATTTCTTAACTTAGAAAAATTTTGGTGTTCTTCTAGTCGGTATTTGGACGACTAGGTATCTTGAGATTCATTTCTTAACTTAGAAAATTTTTTTTGGTGTTCTTCTAGTCGGTATTTGGACGACTAGGTATCTTGAGATTCATTTCTTAACTTAGAAAATTTTTGGTGATCTTCTAGTCGGTATGTGGACGACTAGGTATCTTGAGATTCATTTCTTAACTTAGAAAAATTTTGGTGTTCTTCTAGTCGGTATGTGGACGACTAGGTATCTTGAGATTCATTTCTTAACTTAGAAAATTTTTTTTGGTGTTCTTCTAGTCGGTATTTGGACGACTAGGTATCTTGAGATTCATTTCTTAACTTAGAAAATTTTTGGTGATCTTCTAGTCGGTATGTGGACGACTAGGTATCTTGAGATTCATTTCTTAACTTAGAAAAATTTTGGTGTTCTTCTAGTCGGTATTTGGACGACTAGGTATCTTGAGATTCATTTCTTAACTTAGAAAATTTTTTTGGTGTTCTTCTAGTCGGTATTTGGACGACTAGGTATCTTGAGATTCATTTCTTAACTTAGAAATTTTTTTTGGTGTTCTTCTAGTCGGTATTTGGACGACTAGGTATCTTGAGATTCATTTCTTTACTTGGAAAAATTTTGGTGTTCTTCTAGTCGGTATTTGGACGACTAGGTATCTTGAGATTCATTTCTTAACTTAAAAAATTTATCACTGCCAAAATTTCATTGATGAGGTTTTACTTATTAAGTTTCATATTTTATCAAACAAGTCGGCCTTAGGCCAGCTGGATTCGTTGAATCTCACTATCAATTTGGAACGTTTTCAATTTCCACAAACAAGTCGGAGTTCAACCGACTATTTCATAAAATATTTTTGCCTTTGACTTAGAAAAATTTTCCTTTTTACTTGAATCTCGCCTGTCAAACGAATCGGAATAGAACCGTTTTAGTTTCGCAGAATTACTGAATAAGTAACGAGTCAATAAACTTGCATCAACGATAACGCATGAAATTCACATTGAATTCAAAAAGAAATGAAACACCACCAAAGTCTTAAAGATAACTCGACAACAACAAGAAGGCTTGAAAAGGAGAAGAGTACGAGAGTCTAAAGTAAACAAAAGCTTAATCATCTTCGGGGGGATCCATGAGCTGACCGTCCACAATCTCCTTGAAGTAGCCAAGGCTCCTAAGATCAAGGTCGGCATGCAGAAACTTCACTTGACTCTTAGCCGCATCGAAACCCTCCATAAACCTTTTCAACGAGTCCGTTTTAGCCACATGAAGATTAGCTTGCAATTTTTCAACCTCTGACTTCGCTGAAGCTAAATCGACCTCGAACACTTGCGCCGCATCAACATTTTTGTCTCGGGCTAGCTTCATTTCCTCAAGCTCCTTCTCGAGGCTTGACCTCTCGACAGCCCAGGCCTGTTTCTCGTCCTCAAAGGCACGACGACCTTCCAATAGTTTGTCCCTCTCGGTAGACACCCACCTGAGCTCAGCTTTACTCTTGTTCAAACTCTCCTCCAAGGAAACAATCCTTTTTCCTTGCAACTTAGTCTCCCTCACTAAGCCGCGAATTTTATCTTCATTGATCAACGACAGAGCCGAGAGGCGATTGGTAAGTGATTCGACGCCCTTGGCGATGGTGAAAGCACTCATCTTCTCCAAATCATCTCGGTCACCCTCTAGCAAGTCAGTTCCTCGAATGTGAGCACTGTGGTTAAACTTCTCGTCCCAGAAAGAAGCCACATTGCTACGGTCGGCTCCGTGGTTCACTGGCTCCCAATTCTTGCCGAGACAGGCACTCAGGGTCCTCTCGGCAGATTGAACCTCCGTGCCGCCTTTGACCTCCTCGGCGGCCACGACCGTCTCCAAGTTAACCACCGATATGGATTTATCGGCCTCGCGACGGCGCTTCTGAGGGTTCTCGCCAATGGTTCTCGACTTCACCACTGGACTACCGGACTCCGCAACCTTCTCGGTAGCCGACTCACCCACCACGGCAACTTGGGAAACTTTTTGTTGCTTCCAGAGTTTCATCATTTCCCGGTTGCTCATACTCGCCATTCTCTCTGCAAGAAATACATAAAGAGGTTATGATAGAAGTATAAGGCTAAACGGAAAAGGAAATTCGCAGCATTCAAAACAACAATATACCTATGTATATCCTCAACTCTTGGGGCCTACTCTCTAAGTCTAGGAGTTTTCCAGTATTGAATAGGGTTTTCAACTCCTCGATTTTCTTAACATCATTCCGATCACTCTCGCAAAGCTTCTCAGAATCTAGACCACCAAATGATATAGTTCTCTGATTCCAGTACAAAGGGAACCCCTCTAACACATTTTCATGACTCGGCATACTTCGAACTCGGAAAAACGATTTTTTGAAATCTTTATAGGACGACTGGAATAACGATAACATTCCCCGACCTGAAACCCCGCTAACGGACACCCAGCTAGTACGCTTGCTAATCCTACTCTCAAAGAAGTAGAAGAACTTATCTACAGTCGAGGTAATACCGAGCCCTGCACACAAAACCTCAAAACCACGTACGAAGGCCCAACTATTGGGGTGCAATTGGGTCGGGGCAACACCCAAGGCCTGGAGTACTCCCTTTTCACAGTCAGTAAGGGGCCATCTTACCCTAATTTTAGAAATGAGGGTCGTATAACAAAATGTAAACTTTTCCGTTGAAGGTGAACTAATGCACACCGGTTCTCTGTCAACACAAGGTTCACATATAACTACATCGTCCCCATCACGACAAACCACATGGTCTCTACAAAAGCTGTCCATAGCCTCCCAAGAATTTATAATAGACTCACATTTTAATGCGTCATCTTTAACCCATCTATATAACTCCTTGTAACTCACGACAGCCATGGCAAATATAAGCTTAGACTAACCTACAACCTAAAGGTTTGCAAGAAAACCACTACAATAGCAGAATAAATACGCGTACCTAAGGGTCTCTCACACCACTTCACCCACTAAAAACAGGGACAACCACCGTAGACCTGGAACGGAGAAGAAAGAAACTGCCGGAGAAGAAGACACGCGAAGAGGGTAAAGAAAATAACTTGAAAAAATGGGAGGCCGCCTCTGTTTATAGAGGTGAAGGGTCGCGCGTGAAGAGGGAAAACCCAAGAGCCACAACGCGCGTGGGGTGCTGCAACTCCTAACCCAAGAGGGCCCCACTTCGTTAACCCTGGTAGCGGGCGCTGCCACGTGGCTCCGTCATTAATTACACTCCTGCAACGCCATCCTTGCAATAAATGCATGTCCCTTCCTAGACCAGGGGAAAAGACACATCTTGTCAAGACCAGAGGGATCCCCACTTCCCAGAACGACATACATACCGCTACAGTCCCTATCCGGAGAACGACTCGGCCATCTCCCGACATTATTCGAAAGGCCACAAGCCCTTTCGCCTTATCGGCTCAAGGCTGGAAGGCTAGTGTACCGTCTAGGTCGAAATCCGATTGACCTCTACTCGGCTAATACCCGACTAAGTCACCAGGCCACAAGCCCTTTCGCCTTATCGGCTCAGGGATGGAAGGCTAGTGTACCGTCCAGGTCAAAATCCGACTTGATCCTCCGTTTGACTGATAACCACTCGGCCTACGACCGAGTTAACACCTCTATGCAAGCCGACTTACTCCTATTTCGACCCCACTCGCCTATGAGGGGGTCACTCGGCACGTACCCGACTTGATCCTTGGTGTACAAGCCGACTCAGCCCTAGCTCGGATTCGCTCACTTACAAGTCGGATCTCCGTGATTACCCGACTGGACCCATGACAAAGACCTAGTCGTTTAAAGACCGACTAGATTAATCCTCACTCATTGCGCGGCCTTGTAGCAAGAACGGTTGAGGAAATCCCTACGTTCTCGGGGCCCATGAGGCCCATGGGCGACGAGGTATAAAACCTAAAACCCTAAGTCTAGGCGGACGAATTACACTTTTTGAATGCTCTGACTTTGAGGTTCAACCTAGGACGAAACCCTAGCGCACCCCTTAGCCGGAACAATATACATTTCAAAATATACTAAAATATGAACACTTTGATTACCTTCAAGTTGTTGTTCAATTTTAACAAAATTTGACATATATGATCTAAGAGATATGAACTTTCCATCTAACGGTTGGATTTACAAAATTCACATTTAATATAAAGTTATTGAGCGGTGTAACACTTAGTAAAAGTTACACCGGTGT